TACCAGAAGTTTTTATATTTCTCTTGAATAATTTCATCCTCCTTCTTTTACAGCATGTCAAACAGTAGCTTCAATATCCTTGAGTGATTTCAGTTGTGTTTCTTTTGAATGTTCCTTGAGTTTGGGGAACAAAAAGTCTGAAAGGGCAAGATCGGGGCTCTAGCGTGCCTAGGGTGAAGTTTCTCAATGGAATTCTCATAGGATACCTCTTGCTACAATGGAAGATTGAGCAGATCCACTTGGTGATGGGAAAAAATTTCTTGGAACTTTCCTGGCCTTTTTCTTAATGCAGTTTTCAGTTCTCTTAAAACTTCTTCATAATAAGCTCTCACAATCATCCTTTGTCCTTTGAGAAAATCTATCATGATAACTCCTTTGGATCACACACACACACACACAAACACACACACACACACAAAATAATTGCCATAACCTACTGGGCTGACTTTTCTGCCTTGAATTGAGCTGGCCTAGCAGATCTCCTCAGAATCCACTGTTTTTCCTGGAATGTTCATTGAAGGCACAAAGAGGCAGACATTAAGACAAGTGTATTACTGAGAAAATTTGTTTGAAACTCTATTGGTCACAGAGAATAAACCCATGCACGTATGAACTGGAACCCTAGTAGTAGTACGTTGTGAGTTACTTTCGTAGAGCTGAGCTTCTTCTGATTGTGGGACCAAACAAGAGTTAGAGAATTTTCCTTTGAAGGAAAAGTTACGTATAAGACCAGGACACCCATCCACCACTACTCTTCATGTCCTCTGGGGGGCGTAAAGGAAGGTAGTGGGATGTCAGAAGCCTGTAAGAGTGCTGGGACTGAAGTAGGCCAAGAGGGCACTGACGGAGTTTCTCCATTTGTTTTGTTCTTCATGCCTTATGCTTAGTAGATGTTCATGAAATATTAACTCAGTGAATGAATAAATCTAGGTAGACATTCCCAGCTATATACTGTATTATCCTAGTTTAAAACTCAATTCATATATTACTCCAAATGTTTCAAACAAAAGAAAATTCTGCTTAGTTTATCTTACTCAGAGTTGGAGAAGAGTCAAAAAGAAAAGCTAAACATTTTGAGCGTGCAGAAATGTTGCTGGGACTCTGCCCTTTGCTTGCACCGTCTGCTCCATCCCCGCTGCTGTCTGACTGGCAGAAGGGCTTACGAGAGGAATAAGCCAAGCAGTGCTCATTCATAGAACTCAGAACAGGACTGACCACTTCCTCTGTAAGCTCAGCTCTCATTTTGGCTATAGAGAACAATGCAAGTACCTATTAGAAAACCTCACAGTACCACATTTGAACTTTTAGCCTCCGTTGCTGCAGAAGGGCTAAGCTGTTTTTCCCTCACCACTGAAATCCTGATGTCTCTTTACTGTTTTCTAAATATAATGACACCAAACTAGTATAGTTTCCCCTTAGTCATTTTAAGATCTCACCCACACCATACATGTTGTTTGTCACTGCATATACATTTTGTCCACAGAACCACACATATTAAGGAGTTGCAGGATATTCTATTCTCAGCAGGGTACTTGCTGTGTATTTGCAGAATTGGAAATTAGAAGGAAACTTTAGGAACTGAGGTTTGGAGTTCTCTGGCCTAATTAGTATGCAGAATCATTTAATACCTTCCAGTGGTTTAACTATAATGTCGTTAGACTTACCAGAAAAGTGTTTTCCATTCTCATCCCCATTTATACCCTTAATTATAAACCAGATATTAGAAACAGGATGACCTAAACACCAGTGTAAAACCAGGATACTTTGGAATTAGTCTCATGTCTTTTTGGAGCTGAGTCCTATGAATCTAGCCTGTTTGCTAAAGTTTTCCAGGATGATTGGAATGTATTTTTCTGAACTGGTCCTTTGCTGTGAATTTTGAAATCATTTAAAGTGTCAGAGTATATATATATATATATATATATATATATATGATTCGTTCTCTGCTTTCTGACTCTTCTTAGATCAAAGGGTGGCACCTTTTGCAAATACTGCTGTTGTTAAGTGCCATCGAGTCGGTTTTGATTCATAGCAACTCTGTATAGGGTTTCCAAGGAATGGCTGGTGGATTTGAACAATGCTGAGAATAGTGTACTTTGAAGGCATCATAGATAGGTGGCCCTGTCCTCTTTTTTTTTTTTTTTTTTGGCCTGTTGTTAGTTGCCACCAACTCCAGTCTGACTCATGGCGCCCCCATATGTACAGAATAGAGTAGAACTGCTCCACAGAGTTTCCACAACTGTGCCCTTTCAGAAGCAGATCTCCAGGCCTTACTGCATCGCAATCAACCTATCAGCTAGTGGTCCATCTCTGAACCATGGGCCACCCTGGAACTCCTTCTTCTTTTAGCCTGAGATCCTTCTTTTTAAGATCCACCCCGGTTCATCATGTGTTGTAAGTGATCCTCGTCCTCTTCCCTTGGCCTCTCCTGCTTGAAGAACAAGGGAAAGAAGTGACCCATCACCGTAGCCCTCATCTGTCCCCCACTGCTGGCCCAAAGCCCTTGGAAGGAGAAGGGGTTCTACAAGGGGAGTGTGAGGTGGAAGGGCCTGTGGACTCTAGGTTTTAGAGTCTCCACCATGCACTGACACGGTCTGGGCTAGTGGGGCTGGGTCATGCCTGCATCTGCTCTGTCCTGGGAAAGGTGAGTCCCACAGACATGGCCACTCACCTTCCTAGCTAGAGGGCACCTCCTCCATTATCGTTCCTCAGTCTGGATGAGGGAAGGGTAGCTATTCACTGGTTCACGGGTGGCCTTAAAGAGTCCTGTACATCTTAATGAGACAATTTGTTCCCTTTGGGGCCCTTTGTGACTTGCCTCGGCCTCCGTAATTCTTGTCTCTTTTTCATTCTAGTCATGTTGCTAGTATGAGGAGAGATGCAAGAGGCTTTATGTGCCCTATCCTAAAGGTGCTTTGGACTCCCAGTGTGGTGCAGTAGGAGTAGTACTGCACTGTGAACCACAAGGTCAGCAGTTCAAACCTACCAGCTGCTCCTCGGAAACCCTATACTGGATTACTATGCGTTGGAGCCAACATGATGGTGCATAACACCAACAAAGGTGCTTTGGCCCAGTGCACTCAAGGAAGGCCAAAAATCATTATTACCTACCTTCTTGAATCCGAGACCCATATTTCCTTCATATTTAAACTTTAGGAGACAGTAGGATGCATTTTGCAATCTATGAGTACATTGAATGTTTCTTTGATGCCTCTAAAAGCTGATATTGAAATTGTTGTTCAGTGCTGTCAAGTTGGTTCTGACTCATAGCAACCCTTTCTAGGGTTTCCAAGTAGCGGCTGGTGGGTTTGAACTGCTGACCTTGTGGTTCACAATCCAATGCTTATCCTGCAGGACCATACCAGGACTCCATTATTAAAATGTTGTTGTTGTTGTTAAGTGCCCGTGAGCCGGTCCCTACTCACCGAGACCCTGTATAGAGTTTCAGAGGAGCAGCTAGTGGGTCTGAACTGCTAACTTTGTGGTTCGCAGTCCAATGCTGATTCTACAAATCATATGAAGCAAAGATAAAAACAAAGAAAACATTATGGACACAGGGCAATGTTCATAGTGTAATAAGTTTAAAATAAAAGTAAATTATAAAGACAGAAAAAAAAAAAAGTGAATACAACTTGCAGTCATTTCTTAGAATGAAGGAAATGAGTTTTATTTCAGATTGCCCTTCTCTCTCTGGAGTCCATACCTCTTTTCTGTTTGTTTGTTTGTTTGTTTTAGCTGAAACCTTGTTTTGTTATGCCATTTCCAGTGCAGGCATTGGTACAAAGAGTAGAAGTAAAACTTTGCTGTGGTGGTGGTAAAGTACCTTCAAGTCGGTTCTGACTCACAGTGACCTTGTATAGCGTTTCTGAGGAGCAGCTGGTGGGTTTGAACTACTGACCTAAGCTAAGCTAAAGGAGCCTTCAAGCAAACTCCTTGAACAGGTTTTCTGAATGTCCACATACTCTGAGGAGCCCCTTGGTCCTGAAGGGCATCACAACTGTCCCTGGTCAGATTTTCTACCCACACCCTCCACTCTGGGTACTGTATTGCCTCAGAAAGATTCATTTCCCCTTTGGATATTTTCTCCCACTGGTAAAATCGCATTTCCTTAACTTTTAAAATGTTGGTGACTGTGGGTTTGCCTCTCTTCCTTACACTTCAGTAAGGTGTTTGTCAAATTTATAGAACTAAATATTTCTATATGTAAATTTTGCTGTAAGGAAATTACATTCTTATTAAACCTGAGTTTTAAAAAATCCAGGCAAACCACACATGCTTGGCATTTGTTGTACTTTTAGTGTAGCATTGATGGTAAAACAAAGGTAACAATTTAGGTGCCCATCAAGAGGGTACTGGTTCAATAAGTGATGGCAATCGCACATAATAACTTACGTAGCTATTAAAAACAATTGGATCTGTGCACTTCATATGAAAATATCTCCAAGATACAGCATCAAGTGAAAACAGCCAGAATCAAGGCATTAACAATGGGCACCATTCTCTCTCCTCTGTGTAGTGTGTGTGTGCCTGTGTGTGTGTGCTTGCATGCATTTATTTGTATTTGTTTAGAAAGTTCCAGAAGAATATATGAGAAACTGCTCCTAGGTCTCTGAGGAGAGGGACGGGTGTGGAAGGATGGGGATAGGAGGAAGAATTAATTGCCTTTTTTGCATTTTGATACTGTATAGGAGCTCTGGTAGCGTAGTGGTTACGAATCGGTCTGCTAACCTCAGGGTCAGCAGTTTGAAACTACCAGCTGTTCCACAAGAGAAAGATGAGGCTTTCTGCTCCCGTAAAGATTTACAGCCTCGAAAACCCTGTACGGGGTCGCTGAGTCGGAACCGACTCCACGGCACATAACAACAACTGTACATATGTTATCCAAGACACAGGCAAAATTGAGATTAAAAATATAAGTAAATTAATTGCTTTGACTTCTAAAAGAACAGTAAGCCCACAGTGGCATTGGCCAATTGTCAATTTCTGTCTCTCTGTTTCAGGAGCATCGTGTGAGCCAACTCACTCGCCCCCTAACAGTGGGAAGAAGCTTTTTGTTCCTGTTCCATTCCCTTCGGGCTCCACTGAGGATGTGACTCCCAGTGGTGCCCTGCAGCCACCTCCGCTCCCCCAGAAAAAGACGGTGAGTCGAGCAGCTTCTTCCCCGGATGGCTTCTTCTGGACTCAAGGCTCCCCCAAGCCAAGAGCAGCAAGTCCTAAGCTGAACCTCAGCCACTCTGAAACCAACGTCTGTGTCCATGAAGAATCTCACTTTAGCTACTCCTCGAGCCCTGCGAACCGCCACCATCACGGCTTCTCTTCTGAGCCCTTAGAGAAAACTTTCAAAGGCAATGGCTACTGGGCCCCTGCAGCAGGACTAGCTGGCAGCAAAAGTGGCTGTGGAAGCCCCAGCCTCCAGTGTAGAGGGGCCCCGTCTGCCTCCTCCTCCCAGCTAAGTGTGTCCAGCCAGGCCTCCACGGCCAGCTCCCAGCTGCACCTCCACAGCCTCCTGAGCAGCATCAGCAGCAAGGAAGGTACCTATGCCAAGATGGGGGGCCTCTTCGCCCAGTCCCTGCTCCGCCTGGTAGCGAAGTGTGAGGACCTCTTCATGGGTGGCCAGAAAAAGGAGCTTCACTTCAATGAAAACAACTGGTCACTCTTCAAGCTGACCTGTAACAAGCCCTGCTGTGACTCCGGGGATGCCATTTATTACTGTGCCACTTGCTCCGAGGACCCTGGCAGCACCTACGCTGTAAAAGTAGGTACCAAGCTCTCTCTCATGGGTACTGCTTGACTAACTCATCCCAGCTTTGCCCGAACTGTAGGCTGAGCAAGTCATTTCACCTCTCTAGCCTTTATGAGCAGAATTGGTTACTAAGGTTCTTCTAACAATGCGCAATGATTTCATTCTCAACCTAGCCTAGGAGATGGTGCTGTGAGATTTGTTGAATGAATATAAGCTACTTGCTCTGCTTTAAGGAATGGACCACATGTGATCTAGTTGGATTGAGAACACAAATTATTTTATTATGTAACAGAGAGTCACTGATTTGTTGGACAGTTTTTTACTGAGTACTATATATCAAATTACAAAGATCTCGGTTCCTTTTAGAGCATATAATCTAGTGAGGGAGCTGCACAGTTAAGATCATTATTCTTCACGTTAGAGCCAGTAGGTGTGTTAGACCTAGTCATCATCTAACACGACAAGAGTAATAATACCATTTATTGCGCACTCACTCTATAAGCAGACTTTTGGCTGGGTGGCTTAAGTTGACTAATCCATACATTATGTCTGCAGTGCAGGTAGGTTTTATAGTTATGAGATCTAATGCTCAAAATTAGTAAGTGATCTGCCCACAGCTAGCTGGTGGCCAAGGTATATCTGAACTCTGACTGGTCTGTTTCTGAAGTCTGTGTTACAGTTACATCCATTAAGGAAACTGAAGTTCAGAGAAGTTAAGTGACTAGTTCAAAGTAACACAGCTCTTTAATCTTTGATCCTGGATCTGAGCTGTGGCCATCATATCTCATTGATCTCTGAGGGAGCAGCTCTGAGTAAGCTGGTTGAGAGCCGTTCACACCCACTGGAACCACTGTGGTCTCTGGTCCTTTCTTGTTCTTTTTATCATCTTCTTTTGGTATCTCTTGTATGCCTGATAGGTCTGAAGGCTTTCTAATAATGCAGGCTTTGTGGGGTGGGTGTGTGTGGAGAGGAGGGCTCTGATGTCTCTTCTACTGTCACCCTGTCCTAAGCCATACTTTTTCTCCAGTTAAAACAATGGGAACCATGAGCTAAAGTGAAATGGCCTTGGTGGAGCAATGTGTTGCTTACCAACAAAAATTTTAAATACTATCATTGTTGTTGCTGTTGTTACTAAGTGTTATTGAGTTGGTTCTGACTTGGAGTGACCCTGTATAGAATATCCAGGGACCAGCTGGTGAGTTTGAACCGCTGACCTTGAGATTAACAGTCCAGTGCTTATCCTAGTTGTTGTGGTTGTTAATTGCTGCCAATTCGGTTCTGACTCCTAGCGAGCCTGTGTAGGGTTTCCAAGGCTTTTTAAATCTTTGCAGGAGCAGAAAAGCCTCATCTTTCTCCCACTGGTGAGCTCAACTGCTGACCTTGTGATTCACAGGTCAGTGCTTATCCAACGGAGCCACCAAACTCCTCCTAGTCATTATTATTGTTGTTGTTGTGTGCCGTGGAGTCAGTTCTAACTCATAGCGACCCTGTAAATCTTTATGGGAGCAGAAAGCCTCATCTTTCTCTCACGGAACAGCTGGTAGTTTCGAACTGCTGACCTTGCAGTTCGCAGCCCGATTCATAACCACTACACTAAGTGAGATTGCTTTTTTAAGATGTATGTGACTTCATCATAAAATATAGATTAGTGGTGATTATGTGCTATGGAGCCAGTTCCAATTTATAGCCACCCTGTATAGGATTTCTAAGGCTGTAAATCTTTATGGGAACAGAAAGCCTCACCGTTCTCCCACGGAACCACTGGTTGTTTCGAACTGCTGACCATGAGGATAGCAGCCTGACTTGTAACCACTACATTACCAAACCTCTGGTTTGTATGTATTTATATGTTCAAAGATATATATATATATATAATTACTTGCCACATTCCTGTGTAAAAACAAGAGAGGTGACTACTAGAAGATTCTAATTTAAATCAAGGCCCCAATAGACTGACTGAATTTATTCAAAATGGTAGGTACTAGAAAGGAACCGTGGTGCTGCAAAGGTTAGACACCCAGCTTCCATCTGAAAGGTCTGTGATTCGAACCCACCAGTGGCCAGAGGGAGAAAAAAACCTGGTGATCTGCTCCCATAAAGATTACAGCCTAGAAAACCCAATGGGACAGATATACCCTGACTATAAGGGTCTCAGTATGAATCAGAATTGACTCACCAGCACCTAACAGCAACAAGAGGAATTAGAAGGAAGAAAATACAAAAGTCCTGAATAAGACTCTGGTATTATTCCTCAAATGTCATTGCCTTGTCATTATCTAAACCAGTAGCTACTTTCCTGGTATGCTACACTTACCTGTCACTCCCCAAGGAAAACACATTAGTATTCCCCTTCTTGTATCAATTATCAACACTCATGGAAGCAGCAGTCAAGAAACCAAATGATATATTGTATTTTGCAAATCTGCTGCACAAGACTTTTTGAAAGTGTTGAAGAGCAAAGATGTCAGCTTGAGGGCTAAGGTGTGCCTGACCCAAGCCATGGTATTTTCAATAACCTCATATGCATGCGAAAGCTGGACAGTGAATAAGGAATACCATAGAAGAATTTAATGCCTTTGAGTTAAAGTGTTGGAGGAGAATATTGAACGTACCATGGGCTGCCAAAAGAACCAACAGATTTATTTTGGAAGAAGTGCAGCCAGAGTGCTCCTTGGAGGCCAAGATGGCTAAACTTCCTCTCTCATACTTTGGACATATTGTCAGGAGGGAGCAGTCGCTAGAGAAGGATATCATGTTTAGTAAGGTGGCGGGTCAGAGAAAAAGAGGAAGACCCCCAGCAAGATGGATTGGCATCAATGGCTCAAGTGTGGCAACAATTGTGAGGTTGGTCCAGGACCGGGCAGTGTTTCGTTCTGTTGTGCACAGGGTCGCTATGAGTAGGTATTGACTCGATGATACCTAACAACAACATGTTTGGCGCTGTGGGTTAACGCACCAGACTTCAAAGCCGTTGGAACTGCAAGATTGGCAGTTCAGGCTCACCAGCTGCTCCTCGGAAACCCTATCTGACTCGATGGCACTTCACAACAACAACCTATGCAGTAGAGGGAAAATTGATTGAGCCCTCCAGTGAGGGACCATGATTAGTCTGGGATTGTCACTGCAGGCACAGAGCCAGGGTTCTGCTTTCATCTGATGAAAGGGATATACATCTGAGCTCCTTGAAACACCAAGGGGATGCAGATGCATTTAGGAAACTCATTTTTTTTTGTTAGCCCCCACTGAACCTGAGGAAATGACCGTGAATTATGTTTCCATGTTGTCCCCTTCTGTGTTAGAATAAATCATCTTTTCTCTTGAGGCTGAACCTAGGGGACTTACCTGGTATCAAGAGACAACCAACCTCTCCATTTGGAAGAGAATTTTTTTTTTAGAGGAGCCTAGAGAAAGCTATTCCCTCTAATCTATTAAATAGAAAGTGTTTGGATTCTGGTGCAAAAATTAAGGGGCCACCTGGTGCAAGATTGCCTGGATTTACAATATCAGCAAAGCATTTTGTTTGTTTGTTTGTTTAATATCCACGAGTAACTATGATGTGCAGCTTGAAGTCTAAAGCCTCATCATATGACAATGTACAATTAATTCCATTCTCCAGTGAGCCACACAGAAAATGCAGTTTCCTCAGAGGATATTCAAAACAAACATTGTTCCTCATTTCATTAAAAACCTAGTCAGAAGGAAACCAGAAACTAAGTGTTGGCTCTCTAAGAAGAGCCCCAGGGGTTTCCTTTTTGATGTTTTCCTGGACACTTAGAAGCACAAGAACTACCTTTTCATAAAGTGAAAAGGAAACTGGGAGAAGACTTGCAAATATTCACACAATGGTAATCCTGAGTCAAGATTACCAAAGAGAACAGTACCAATTTACAAATGTGCCCTGGCCTGGTGATGGGAGGGAACTGTGTTGTTTGTAGTGCTCCCTTTCTTGCTCACAGCTGTTCACTTCAGTAGTGCTCCAGTCTAGACGGAATACAGTCATCCGAGAGTCCGAGTCCAAGGGGAGGGACACAGCTGCTCTGTGTGGGCTGGTGGCTAAGCTCAAGTCATCTGTGCATGCTAAACAGGGAGGCGACCCTGAAATCAGAATATAGCTTTGGTTGCAAAATCTCCTTTAACAAAAGCCAGCTCACACCTGTTGGCCCCTCTGTTCATGGGTGCAGTGACAATGTGCAGCAGCAAGGAGAGCAATGAGAAAAAGCCACCTCTCCTAGACCTACTCTATGAATATGTGCAAGGAGGGAAAAGTTCATTAACTGTGTGTTTGCAAAGCTCATTCATCCATTCTTTGTCATTTAGAACTGCAGTTCCATAATTAGGGACCTGTGTTAAGATGGCTGGACCTTTCCTTTTTTTGGAAGCAGACGTGACTTAGTGCAAAATTTCAACCATAAATGATGCCATGTCTCCAAAGTTTAAAATGAGACTTGGTTGAGGCCAAAAGTTTGAAATTGGAGCCAAATCAAAGGTCTGAGGCAGCATTTGACATTGAAGCTGAATGTCTTGAGCCAAACTCGGAGGCAGACATCCTGAAAATTAAATGGAGCTTCTAAGGGGCGTCTGCAAGGGGCAGTGGGACAGAATTATGTGATTAGTTTACCGAGCTGAAGGAGAAGCCCAAACCCCCAGCTGGTGAAATTATCTCCAGGGCACTCCCAGCCCTTAGCCCCAGGCTAGTTAACATGCACTGCGCACAACAGCTCTCCAGTGTGGCGCTGGTGAAGAAGCTGCAGTTCTTGCCAGAGGACCCAGCTCACTGATTTTGAAACGCATCCAGCCCAGTTCACATTTACTCTGCTCCTTCATTTACATCTCTGCGCACAATGTTAGCGGCTCAACTGGGGAGCTCTGGGCTAGCAGTGTTTGCTGGGCTTTTGATAACTCTTGAGAAAAGGGGGCCCTGGGAACTATTCCCATGCCCCTCAGCAGCTGTGGTGACCTGGTTTGTGCACTACCTGCAAACTAGCTCTGGATGGCTCTAGATAGAGCTACAAGAGCAATAACCATAGCAACCTTTCACATGGAGGGATCATCATGGCCTGGCACTGTGCTGAACCATACCTGTGTGTCACTGCCCAGGAGGAAGGAACAATCCCTGCCTCTGTTGTACAGATGAGAAAACAGACTATGAGATAAGTGACTTGCCAAAAGTTACAGGACTAGGGAGTGGCAAGAGTTGCTACTTAAACCAAGGTAGTTCTTTCCTCCAAAGCCCTTGCTTTAGACCTCTAGAATGATAGATGGACCTGGTGATCTGCTTCTGAAAGGTCACAGACTTGAAAGTCCTGTGGAACAATTCTTCTCTGCTCACATGGAATCACCCACCATGAGTTGGAATCCACTCCAGACAACTGACAACAACAACCTTGAGTAAATAATCTGACTCCTAGAAGCCTCAGATTCCTCCTCTGTAACAGCATGAATCGTGGGGTTATTAGAAGATGTGAGGAGACGGCATGACCAAGGTTTAGTTGGTACATGCAACAGTACAGTCATGCCTGTGTGGTTGTGAGACCTTCACTGGAGGGGTGACAGACATCAGCTGTGGTCTTCCCACACTGTGCACGGTTCAGACATACTGGGTCATCAGTTACTTTAAATATTTATATGTGAGGCTACTTTTTTTTTGAGACCCCCCAAAATTTCCTTTAGTTCAGTAGTGGTTCAAAAGACTTCCGTTTAAAAACAGCATACAGTTGAGTGGGCTAGAATTTAAGAGCCTGAAATAATGCCCTTCAGACATGTATTCCAAAATCAGTTTTACGAGTGTAACAGGAAGCCAGCTTCTGGGATAAAATGTACTCCTCTTTTATTTCCATTCTATTTCCAGAGTAAGGAGATTACTAAATTAATTTGGTTTTCCTCCAATTGGCTTTTTATAACAGTTTCCTCAGGCTGAATACTTTTATGCCAGGTTTCATGTTGTGAAGGTTTATATAACTACAGTATAAATAAATCTCTGAAAAGGTGTTTGCAATAGAACTTCTAAAAACCGCCCACAAGCAAAACTGCCCGCAAGCATTGGGGCACTTTATAAACACTGCTGTAATCATTCGAGTATGGCAACGCAGCAGGCCAAAGAAAGGATTGTTGAAAAATGATATTTTCTAGTATTTTCTAGGTAGGTGTGGGATGCCTTTGATCTCAGGATTACTACACTGATCCTTATGCATCAATAAAACATACGTGAGGTTGCACATAGTCCTCTGAGAAAGGAGACTACTGACCATCTTCCGTCTCTTTCAGTGTAATTGCAGGGAAATAGAGGTATGACAGAAGGTCATTATAGTTGGCTGAAGTCTTCAGTTGAATGGCAGCTGGGTGAGGATTAATGTTTTAGAGATCCTCAGGTGGTTGGTGCTGTCATTAGTATAAGAAAAGGAAACTGAAGTGGAGGGAGGGACACAGTTGTGTGGATTCCCCAGGCAGCATCACCACGGAGGAGCTTGGGATCATCTGTGTTGTTTATGTTTTCATTCAGTCAGAGGGTGCCTGTGTGCACTTTGAGTTTTCTATTCCCTGGAGAACTCTCTGTTTTCTTTCGGCTGCTGTGACTTGCCCTTGGAGGAAAAGTGTGTGACTTCTACATAACACTCCTGTAAATATCAGCCCTTTAGTTCATTTAGACCAGCGTTATACAGTGAGACCTGTGAAAGCCAGAACTTGACGAAACTGCCTTGCTTTTTTAGGTCTTGAAAACTCCACTTTTGACAAGGTGTAGTCTTAACCACTTTTCTATCCCTCAGTGACACTGATTACATTCTTCCCATTGTTACTTTCGTTCTAGTTGTTTCAGTCCCATTAATTTAAACTCCTGGCTCCCCATCCTGTTCATCTGTGCTTTAAATTAGCTTTTGGTCATTTGGTCTGTCTCTTTTATTATTATTTAGCTTTTCATTGTGAATTGAGTCAAAGTTTTCAGAGCAGATCATCAGTTTTACATCCAACAAACTATATATACTTTGCTTCAATACATATTTGCAGTCCCCTCCGTGTACCAACGATAACAGCGTTTACCACTATTCACTTAACTATTACATTCCTCCCTTCATCCCTTCCCCCAAACCTCCTTCTTGTATACTGCCTGCCCTGTCACCCATATCAACATGTGTCAGCCCATGAACTGTTTTCCCTCCTCCCCACTCCTCCACACACACACCCTCTCCCCAACCACCATAGATTGTTTCTTTTGTTTGTTTGTTTGAACACTGGTATCGTTCACTGTTTCAAAGTAACAGTGGCACAAACCCTTCCCACCTCCCATCTCAAACCCTTCACTGGGATTGAGTCTCTATCTTGAGGCATGAAGTTTTGAATATATGACCATAATTGTTCTTTTGCTTGGGTGTCGGGGTTTCTCCCAGGTTGTAGCTCACCCAGACTCATAGCTCACCCTGGCTGTACCTCATCCAGATCATAGTTCTGGGACCATAACTCACTGGAGCCGTAGCTCACCAGGGTCATAGCTCACCCCAGCCATCACCCTGGCCATCACCCGGATTTGTTCTTTTATTGATTGTGCTTTTAGTGTCATATCTAAGGAACTTGTTTGTCACAAAAAATCTCCTACATTTTCTTCTAACATTTGTATTGTTTTAGCTCTTACATTTTAGTCTGTATGATCCATTTTGAGTTCCCCATTGGGTATGTTGTGCGGTAAGGGATTAAATTGGACATCCAATGACCCAGTACTGTTTGTTGAACAGATGAGATTACTGGATCCCACTTTTGACCTCCTTTCTTCTTTTCCTCACAGATCTGCAAAACCCCTGAGCCCAAAGCAGCATTGTACTGCAGCCCCTCTGTACCTGTGCACTTCAACATCCAGCAGGACTGTGGCCACTTTGTTGCCTCAGTGCCCTCGAGCATGCTCACATCCCCTGACACTCCTAAGGACTCGCTGCCTGCCCTGCCCTCACACCTTCCTGCCCAGGAACAAGACTGTGTGGTGGTCATCACCCGTGAGGTACCCTACCAGACAGCCGCTGACTTTGTGAGGAACTCAGCCACCAGCCACCGGACTGAGCCGGAGGTTTATGAGCGCCGTGTGTGTTTCCTGCTCCTGCAGCTCTGTAATGGGCTGGAGCACCTGAAGGAGCACGGAATCATCCACAGAGACCTGTGTCTGGAGAACCTCCTGCTGGTGCACTGCACACCCCAGGCCTCTCAGTCAGCCGCCCCCACTGCCCCTCCCTCCGCTGTTATTCCTTCCATTTGCTCCTCTACCACTCTCCCAGCCGGTGTCACCCCCAGTCTCCCAGCTGCCCCGACCTGCCGCGGAGTACCAGGGGAGAAACACTTGTCCCGGCTCATCATCAGCAACTTCCTGAAGGCCAAGCAGAAGCCAGGCGGCAGCACCAACCTACAGCAGAAGAAAAGCCAAGCCCGACTGGCGCCTGAGATCGTGTCGGCTTCCCAGTACCGCAAGTTCGATGAGTTCCAGACAGGCATCCTCATCTATGAGCTGCTCCACCAGCCTAACCCCTTTGAAGTGCGTGCCCAGCTGCGGGAACAGGACTATCGGCAGGAAGACCTGCCCCCACTGCCCACCCTGTCCCTTTACTCACCTGGTCTGCAGCAGCTTGCCCACCTGCTTCTGGAGGCCGACCCAATCAAGCGCATCCGCATTGGTGAGGCCAAGCGGGTGCTGCAATGCCTGCTGTGGGGGCCACGCAGAGAGCTGGTGGAGCAGCCGGCCTCCCCTGAGGATGCGCTGTACAGCACGCTGCAGAACTGGATCGACATGAAGCGGGCTCTGATGATGATGAAGTTTGCGGAGAGGGCTGTGGACCGCCGGCGTGGGGTGGAGTTGGAAGACTGGCTCTGCTGCCAGTACCTGGCGTCTGCAGAGCCCGGAGCCCTGCTCCAGACACTGAAGCTACTACAGCTTCTGTGAGCCAGCCCCAGCCTGCACTTTAGCTGCCCACTTCAATGCCTGTCCCTGTCCTGGGCCCCTTGCCCTTTCCTTGCCATGGAAACATCAATGTCTCCCTGGGAAATGGTACAAATGTCTGTCACACTTGGATCTAATATATGCATATGTATATAAATATGAAAAACTGAAGGTGTTATTTCCCACTGTGGCCTCTTCACCTAGTCATTCCCAGTTTCGTCCTGTAATTATGTAGATTTCTAGCTCCCAGCAAGGGCCTGCGGCCAGTTATACCTATACAATGAAGCTTGGAATCTGACTTCACACAACTAGTTGCAGAATCTCTTCACTCTCGCGTTCAAATTGTAGTTTTGGTGTTTTTTTTTTTTTAAACAAGAACAACAACACAAATATCCATTATTATTGTTTTTAACTTCTGATTTAATGGTAAAGGAAGCTTCTTTATCCCCAAGTGCATTAATGTTTGTGGTGGATAAAATAAAACGTTAAGTTGAGAATCAGTGGGTGGGGTCCACTTGAGGTATCTTTGGCCCTACCCTTCTCGTGTAGTGGCTTGAGATAGACCCAGACATATTGGAGCCAATTCATCTTCCAGGCCTCAATTTCACCTTCCCACCCAGCAGTCCCCCTGGAAGGAATCTGGACACCGCTGGTATGATCCCAGTGGTTCCGAATGTTTACCCGACTGCACCAAAACTTCCAGTTTGCTGAACTGAGTCTCCATTTGTATCAGTCAGAGAGCTGGCTGAAAAGAGAGACCACCACAGATGGTTCAGGTGGAAACACTGCAAACAGTTAAGCATTCCATTAGCCCAAAGGTTAGCAGTTCCAACCACTAGGTAGTGCCTTGGAAGACAAATCTGCCAGTCTACTTCAGAAAGGTCACTGCCATGAAAAACTAGTAGTGCAATTCTACCCTACACACATGGGGTTTCCATGAGTTGGAATCTACTTGACAGCTATTAACAATCACAACATACCGGGTCTACTTACAAAGCTGTAGGCAGGGTTAAGAAAACACACAATGAAGATGAGACAAAAACTAAGGCTGGGATGATGGTGCAGGGGCCACCCATAAAAGGGGTGGTACTGAGGTCACTCTGAAAGAGTGGGAAAATTACTTGATGACTCTTCATTTCAGACTTCTTGTCACTGGTTAAGTCCAATAAGGAACCAAGCGGCAAGGGAGCCTGGGCCATGCAGTCTGCAAGACCAGTCTCTTGAGGCAGGGACAAGATAGAGAATGGATGAAGGCCAAGTGGGTAACCGTCATTGTTTCTACTATGTCAGAGCAAAATAAAACTCAGGTACCTGAGTTTGCTTGACGTCTCAAGCTCTCTAGGTTTCCAATTCTAAAATTGTATTCATTTAGCACATGTTTCATTGCTCATTATCTCCTAGGTACTGTTGTTGTTTGTTAAGTACCATCAAGTCCATTCCAACTCATATTAACCCTGTATAGGATTTCCAAGGAGTGACTGGTGGGTTTGAACCATTGACCTGATGGTTAGCAGTCCCGTGCTTATCCTACTGCGCCACACCAGGACTCCTAGGTACTGTAGTAACCTTTAAAACACATAAAGAGAATGAAGATGCAATAGGTCTTTCCTCTTTAAAGCTTGTTGTTGTTGTCAGGTGCCATCGAGTCGGAACCGACTCATAGCGACCCCATGCACAGCAGAACGAAACAATGTCCAATCCTGGGCCAACCTCACTACCACTGCCACACTTGAGTCCATCAATGATGCCACCTGGCTGATCCATCTCTTTGGGGGTCTTCCTCTTTTTCTCTGACCCTCCACCTTACCCAGCATGACATCCTTCTCCAATGATTGTTTCCTCCGGACAATATGTCCAAAGTAGGAGAGATGAAGCTTATCCATCCTGGCCTCCAAGGAGCACTCTGGCTGCACTTCCTCCAAAACAGATCTATTGGTTCTTTTGGCAGTCCATGGCACTTTCAGCGTTCTTCTCCAACACCACAACTCAAAGGCATCAATTCTTCTACGATCTTGCTTATTCACTGGCCAGCTTTCACATATAATTGGTTCTACCTTTAGCAACACTATATAACAGAACAAAACTGCCCAGTCCTGCACCATCCTCACAATCATTGCTGTGTTTGAACCCATTGTTGGAGTCTCTGTGTCAGTCCGTCTCATTGAGGGCTCTACCTCTATTTCGATGACCCTCTACTTTACAAACCATGATGTCCTTCTCCAGGGACTTGATCCCTCCTGATAGCATGTCCAACTTAACTGAGGCAGTCTCACCTTCCTTGCTTCTAAGAAGCATTTTGACTATGTGTTACAAGACACATCAATTCATTCTATTGGCAGTCCATGGTAGAGTCACTCTTCTGCTATAACACTGTAATTCACATGTATCAAGTGTTCCTTATTCATTATCTAGATAATTCACATATTGGTTTGGGTCAGGTGTACCTTTGTCGTCAAAGTACTATCTTTGCTCTTTAACACTTTAAAGAGACCTTTTGCAGCACATTAGACACACAAAAAAAATCAATATTTACTGATTTGCTGGGAAACCATCCTAAGACCCTTATTTATACTGGTGGTTATGTGCCATGGAGTCGGTTCCGACCCATAGCGACCCTGTACAGGGTTTCCGAGGCTGTAAATCTTTATGGGAGCAGAAAGCCTCATCTTTCTCCCAAGGAACTGCTGACCTTGCGGTTCACAGCATGGTTCGTAACCAGTGTGCTACCAGAGCTCCTTTAAGACCCTTATACTAGTTGCCATTAAGTGGATTCCAATTTATGGTACACAGTGTCAGAGTGGAACTGTGCGCCATAGGATTTTCAGTGACGGATTTCACCAGGTCTTTCTTCTAAGACACTTCTGAGAGGACCAGAACTACCAACTTTCTGATTAACAGCCAAGCTTTTCGTGTTTTGCACCAAGTACCCGTTATATGTCTACCTAAGGGACAATCTTCCAACTGGTGAACTAATATCTAAGCTTTATTAATAAAAATGGGCAAGTTAAAGTAAATGCAAAAAGCTTAAAGGATGTCAGAGAAATCTGGGGATGTGGGCTAGCAACCAGAATGGGAGAGTTACCCCAGTATACTTCATGTATATAATATCACTCCTTTTGCCACCTCTGCCCAGCTTCTCACTGAGTGTAAACACTCACTTCCATCCATGTGATAAAGACATCACCAGGGACCCATTTGTAATGTCAATTGTCACTTGAATATTGAGGAAAGAACTGGCTAAAACCAGCCTCCAACTATGTTTACACAAGAGAAAGAAAGCGTTTTGAACATGGAACTCAAACACAAATCTCCAGTTTGTCTTCTCTCAGTCAGCTCGCCCCCATATGCTTCTCCATAGGATGTATCTGTTTCAGAGGGTATTATTTTGCCAGTTGTTTGTTCCTGGGAATTTTCCAGACAAACCCTCCGCCCTCGATTAGCTGTCTTATGCTTTCTTGTTCTTTCTCACTTCAAGTAAATAAACAATAGAAGGAGGAGGAAGAAAACCTTCTGCCAGGGTCAGGCTGTGCCGTGTGGAAACGCATGTCTCAGGAGGCGCATTTTTAATCTCAGAATTAATTGCACCTTTTTTATATGCCACCCACTTCAGAAAGAACTTGAGAATGCAGAAACAGATTAAAGAAACAAAATGAGCCAAAAAGCAAAGGTGGAAAGAGAGGAAACTAACCACACATTGTGATTGATAAGAATGATAGCTATTAAACATAAAACTTACTTCTGAGCTACTTCCAACCTAGTAAAAATAGAGAGCAATTGTGTGTGTGTGTACGTGCATGCACAATTTTAGGAAACAATCCTGTTCATTAGGAGGAGCAAGCTATTCCCAATGCTTGTTTTAAAGGGAATTTGTCAAGGATTTCCTTGTTTAAAGATAATGAATAATGTCCCCATAGCAGCTTTAAAAAGCATTTTCCTAAGTAGGGCAATTTCTTATAGCCACCATTAGTGAAATCAAAGTGCATAATGCTCCAGTTTAGCTCCACAGAGGTGGTTCTACAAAATAATCACCACTCCATCATCTCCATGGGTTGGCCTTTTCCATAAATAATAAATCCTATGGCTGCAAATATTACTTAGTTTGGCAAACAACTGCAGCCACACTAAATTCATCTCCCTCATCGTAAATATTTTTTGTTATCTCAAAATCCACCTGGGATGATGCCTTTCTCTCACAGAAAGCTCAAGCTCTAAATAGGTAACGTCAGGAAGCAATTATTGGTTTTCTGTCTTCCATTGCAGGACTAAGATTCAGTGTTTCATAACATCTAACAATTAAACACTGGTATCTGAGTTCATCTCCCTCCTTTATTCTTGGCTTTAGTTCCAGCTACTGGCATTTAAATCTCCAGTTTGTCTTCTCTCAGTCAGCTCGCCCCCATATGCTTCTCACATTGATAATTTTTGTTTTTAATGGGCCTTCCCTTTCACATGCCAGGATTTGGAATCTTTCTTCTTCTCCTGAGTCTTCGCTGTAGGCAGTATAAGCTCAAACATCTAAATTATTAGATCCTTGCCAGAAACAAGATAAGTGCTTCACGGGATTATTTATTTATCATAACACATGACTCAGATGAAAAGGATGGGGTTTAGGGAGCTGTGGTTACCACACTTCTTGCTTTTCAAGAGCTTAGGACTGGGGTAGGGTCTTTTATAATATTCCATGTACACAAAACAAGGATGAAGACTTTAGAGATAGAAGAACCAAGTACCACTTTAATGACTTCTCTTTAATTCTTTCTTTAAAAATAAAACCAATAAATGAGGCAGTTTCCCACTCTTGAATATCTCTGAGTATCTAAGGATAAACTTATTAAATCTCACAAAAAGTAGATGTGTAATGGAAAATCTGCTTGACATATTTAATAGAAGGTGATTGGAATTGATTCACTAGAAAGCAATATGTATCCCACTGCTGAAAGCATAAGACAAGAATAAAATGTTTGTGTACAAGTCCTGTGGGATGAATGTCCTGACAAATTTCT